TGTTATGAGTTTATATAGTTAGTGGGTAGGTGGATCCTGGCCGTTGGATGAGATGTTATGAAGGGCCAGGATCCTTCAACTAACAGGGAACGACGTCGTTTCAAGGGTAAAGGGTTGGGGTCGGTCCGGGTGAGACGGGTCGGGTCTGTTAGTGGGTTTGGGGTGAGAGATCTTGGCCGTTGATAAATCTGAGATCAACGGCCCAGATCAGACTGGATTAAACGGTGTCGTTTGGATGGCTAGGGGTGGGCAGGTCACGGACCGGGCAAGCCTGGTTTTTGGGCTGAGTTTGTTGGGCCAATTTGTTTAAAATTGGCCCAAGTCCGAAAAAAAGGTTTTTATTATCATTTTATTTTCTTTATTATTTTTTATTTATTTTTATTTTTTACAAAAACAAAACCTAAATAAATCAAATTAAAATCAAATAAACACTTAATACAATTAATTGCACACACATTAAAATATTTTAAAACAGGTAAAATCAAACAAAAACAAAATCACGGACAAAGATGCCTATTTATGATTTTCTATTTAACAACCGTATTACGGTTCAGATTACGCATGACACATACATTTTTTTTGTATTTTGTTTTAATAAAAATAAAAATGGACAAAAATCATAAATAATTAACAAAGTGCCATGTAAAAATCCAAAAATTGTACAACAGGATCAATTGTTATTATTTTTTATTTCTTTTGGAGCGATTGTCGCGTGAAGCAAAAATCACGTGCTCACACTCTTGAAGACCAAACGAGTATTCATGCATCTTCACTTTTTCTTTTGTAACGGTGATTAGGAGTGGTAATGGCACGTTAAAAACGGATTAAATACTAATACAGATAGAAAATGGGTTAACGGGTAAATAATATGGAAATCTATATTATCCATGGGTTCTTGAATATAATCACTTTTGGGAGAATTTCTAATCTTCTAAACTTGAGAAATCTGTATTGGAAAAAAACTGAATTTATATTAAAAATGATGTGGCATGACACGTGGATTAGTTAAATGGTCAAAGAACAACAATTGACTAAGAGGCACGGTGAAAACAGCCACGGGAAGAAGAATTTAAATAAGCACGAGACGACGTATAGATACGAGTCTCGTACCAATTTAAATTATTTACAGCCAACGGATTAGAAGGCATTGAAAGCAAGGATCAGATGACAGAAAGGAGTCCAAATTCATTATTAAATGTCTGATACGTTATAAAGTTGGTATTTAATAGGAATGATTGTATAACGGCTTATTTAATGTCATTTATTGCTCATGATTATATCATTAAAGCTGAGGCTTTATTCCTTTACCTAGAATGATCTATAAAAGGAAGAAGTATCATCATTTGTAAGGACACGGAATACTATTGAGAATTCATTGAAATACTTATCTATTTACCTTCTACCATTGTTCTCAAAAGTATTTTATTTTTTGTCTCCTGATTATCAGTAACCCGAATTTCTCTTTTAGCTTTGACCAAGGACTCAGATTTTTGGTTAAACAAAACCCTCATTTGAATTTTTGCAAAAGTAAAAGTTAAACTCATTGACTATCTATTTTTTTAAGTGAATAATTTGGATCTTATCCATATTCGATCAATTTTTAAAAAGTTCACTATTTAACCCATTTTTTAGAATAACACGGAAAGATAACTATTTTTTTTAATCCGTTTTGCCACCACTAATGGTGATATCTAAATCAACTTATGTGCTCTTTTACTATTCTATCAAATATCTGCTACCTCTATAGAGTAACTTTTGTCACCAAAATTTAAATAAATGAAAAGAAATCACCTCCTAATATTATCTCACCCGGGTAAAAGGTTCGGAGGGAGGAAACTGCAAAGCTACTTTTCTAAGACTAATCCCGGTATAAAATATGGAATTATATTTACTCAGTGTTAGTTATTGATATTAATTAATACATGTATATTTTATACCAAAATCTTGGTAAAAATAACGTTGTCTCAAACCAAAGACCCTACTAGAATAACCTATTGGCAGTATGCACCAGTAACTCGGTAAAGACAAAAACAAGAGGTGACTCAGCCAACACAAGGACTTCTGGTTCATGTTTATCCAGTAACGCGTGTTTTTCTAATGTTTCTATTATTACACTGTAATCTGATCTGGAATACGAAGGTACCTCTTATGAATTCGAGATTTCAGTCCACTGAAAATTATTATGTTTTAAATTAATAATTTATATATAATTAATAAATTTTTAAAGATAAATACATAATTCGAACCAAAGTTATTAAGTTCGACTGAACCCGTCTCGATACTCTAGCTCCCCCTGCACATAGAGTTACCTGTAATATTCTTAAGAATTTAACTTATATACGCGGGACTGTAATAACTTTTACACTATTAATATAAGTTAATATATTGTATAATCAATTCCACATATCATAGGCTAATTAAATAGCTTAAAAATTCTTTTAGGCGGTTTTTCAATCAGAATAACATTTTATTTCCCATAACTGCTCCTTAACAGCTGAAATAATAAGAAGAATAAAAAAATAATCTCACAAGAAATCTCCTCCTATATCAAATGCAAGTGAGATTCAGAGAACAGCAGATGACATATCTCTGACTGGATATAAAATTTGAAAAAAGTTAAAACATTGAAATCAATTTTTATTGACTTGGTGTAATTAAAAGGAATATAAAATGGGCGTTATATGTGTCACCACGTCATGTAGAGGACAGACTTTGAAAAAAGTTAGCTGACTTGTTTTGAACTTTTGCACTTTATTTTTTACCAATTTCTAAATATAGCCCACCAAACTTCTCTCTCCTTCGTTCACCTCAAACCTTTGAGGATCTTACTTTATAAATACACATCCACAACTTCATCCATTCCTACACATCTTCCATTATCAGCACATTCATACATTTTCTATATCAAAAACAACACATTCCTACATCTTTCTATTATCAAAAAAACTATACAAAAAATGACTTTAACACTTCGTTCATCAACTTCTTTTATTAATATAAAAGAAACCAAAGGTGTTAAAACACCTGATGATTTCTTAGGCATGGTTTCTTATACACAAACCAAGCCATCTTGTCGTCTCATAACAAAGAATTCAATGCAAGAAGCTCACCTCTCTCATGAGAGAGTTATCGTTAATGAGAAAAGAGAAAAACTTCATGTGCTAACAACTACTCACAGTAATAGTAGTACAAAGGTACCTGTTTTTGTGATGTTGCCACTTGATACTATGACTATGGGAGGGAACTTGAACAAGCCACGAGCGATGCACGTGAGTTTGATGGCGTTGAAAAGTGCTGGAGTTGAAGGAGTAATGGTAGATGCTTGGTGGGGTTTGGTAGAAAAAGATGGACCTTTGAAGTATAACTGGGAAGGTTATGCTGAACTTGTTAAGATGTGTAAAGAACATGGCTTGAAACTTCAGATTGTTATGTCTTTTCATCAGTGTGGAGGAAATGTTGGAGACTCTTGCAGGTATTTATACATAGCTCTTTTTTGCTGTTTATGTTTATCAAGATCTAGCAATATTCTGTTCTATTTCAATTAGGCTATAAATAAGATGCACTAGTATTCATTTAATAGAAGGGGGAGTCTTTGAGTGGTGGAATCAGCCACTAATACTTGCATTGACATAAGCTGCCTACATCACACCCCTTTACGTGCGGCTCTTCCCCGGACCCTGTATAGACGCGGAATGTTTCGTGCACCGAGTTGCGTATTCATTTAGTAAATCTTCGACCCCCAATTTTACAACTATTTGCATAGATTCATGAATAATCTAGTTTAAGTTCTAATGAACTAGGAAATTTACCTTTTTCTGTTCTCATAATTCTAGATCATAACACCAGCTAGGCACTTCCTGTCATGTTAGTACTTTTATTAAATGTTTTAAAGGGAATCGGCCATTATCTTTTCCTCAAAATATCCAATAAACCTATAGATCTTAGGTATCAAAGGTGGAGCCAGCATTTTTAACTTATGGGTTTAGATTTTAGTCGTTTTAAATTACTGAGTTCTAAATTAATAATTTATACATATGCAATGAATTTTTTAAGACAAATACAAAGTTCCAACCAAAGCTTAGCCGAACCTGCACTCAGCACTCTAGCTCCACCCCGCTTAGGTTTCTTCAGGTTTTCAATCATTGCTTAGAAATGGTTAACAGAATTATAATATTTGGCAAAAGACATATTGTGCTACAATCTAAAGTAATAGTTCATAGCTTTTAAAGGGAAAAATTCAAGTGGTTCTGGGAGAAATCAAACTGTCACTAAAATTTTTAATGGATTTTGCAGTATTCCTCTACCTCCATGGGTACTTGAAGAAATCAGCAAGAATCCTGACCTTGTCTACACAGATAGATCAGGCCGGAGAAATCCTGAGTATATTTCCTTAGGTTGTGATCAGTTACCAGTACTCAAAGGAAGAACACCTATTCAGGTCTATACTGACTTTATGAAGAGCTTCAGAGAAAGATTCAGCAATTACTTGGGAGATGTCATAGTGGTAAGGCTTCTGCTTTACGATCACATACCCTATAGTCATATATATTATTACTTCAATAGTATTACTGCTATTGAAGGGAGCCTTGGCGTAACTGGTAAAGTTGTTGTCATGTAGCCAGGAGGTCACGGATTCGAGCCGTGGAAACAGCCTCCTGCAGAAATGCAGGATAAGACTGCGTACAATAGACCCTTGTGGTCCGGCCCTTCCTCGGACCACACATAGCGGCAGCTTAGTGCACCAGACTACCTTTTTTTTTAATAGTATTATTGCAATTATATTTTCCAAGATTGTAGCAAAACTTATTGAAATTAACATTCTGTTTTTTTCTACAGGAGATTCAAGTGGGAATGGGTCCTTGTGGGGAACTCAGATATCCATCTTATCCAGAAAGCAATGGTACATGGAGGTTTCCTGGAATTGGAGAATTCCAGTGCTATGACAAGGTAACAACTTGCATCTATTGCTTGAAATATTAAAGAATCTTGTTGATTATATGAGCAGTCTAGTGCACGAAGCATCCCGCGTTCACGCAAAGTTTGGGAAAAGGCCGCACTCCAAGGGGTGTGATGTAGGCAACCTATCCTCATCGAATCCACAGCTCGAACCTGTGACCTATAGGTCATATGGAGACAACTTTAATGTTGCTTCAAGGCTCCTCTTCGTTGATTACATGAGTAGTCTCAGAAAAATTAGGAAGACCTTCAAATGCTGGAAAAAAAACTAATTTCTTTTTTGTCAATGCAGTACATGAGAGCTTCACTATCAGCAGCCGCCAAGGCGGCCGGAAAAGATGACTGGGGCCAGGGAGGGCCTCATGACTCCGGACAGTACAATCAATTTCCTGAGGATACTGGATTTTTTCAAAGAGATGGAACATGGAACAGTGAATATGGACAGTTCTTCCTAGAGTGGTATTCAGGAAAGCTAGTGGAGCACGGCGACAGAATCCTAGCAGCAGCAGAGGGTATATATCAAGGAACTGGGGCTAAACTATCTGGAAAGGTAGCTGGAATTCATTGGCATTACAATACTAGATCACATGCTGCGGAGTTAACAGCAGGATACTATAATACAAGACACACAAATGGCTATCTACCTATAGCACGTATGTTCGCCAAACATCGTGTTGTGTTTAACTTTACATGTATGGAAATGAGGGATGGTGAACAGCCCCAGAGTGCAAACTGCTCACCAGAAGGCTTAGTTCGACAAGTAAAAAACGCAACTACAACTGCTGAAGTAGAACTTGCCGGAGAAAATGCTCTAGAGAGGTATGATGGAGGAGCGTATTCTCAAGTTTTGGCAACAAGCAGATCAGATTCCGGAAATGGATTGAGTGCATTCACATTCTTGAGAATGAACAAGCGGTTGTTTGAGCCAGAAAATTGGCGGAATCTAGTGCAATTCGTGAAAAACATGTCAGATGGAGGTCGAAATGCTACACTTCCAGAGTGTGACTCAAGCAGGACAGACCTCTATGTACATTTTGTCAAAAAGAGTCATTCTAAGAAAACTACAGAGGTTGCACTAGTGTAACGATATGAAAAAAGAGGCCTCCTGGTGTACAAGGCATCTTGTGTGAGCGCAGGGTTCAGGGAAGGGCTGCACCCTAAGAAAGCTACAGAGGTTGCATTAGTGTAACGATATGCATACATGTAATATAGTCATTCCATTGTAGGTTAGCAGAGAAAAAGTAGCAGAAAGTACTACAGTGCTATACTCCGTACCCCCTAAAAGATTCCAAAAAATAATTGAATCTGTTTCTGAAACTGGATTATAGACGACAAGTAAAAGAAGCTTAGTATGTCTACAATTGAAGCTTCGGCTCACTGGGACGACGAGGGACAGAAATATACACCTTCGATCATATAAGGATTCGAATGAGTATATTCTTTTCTTTGTACATAAAGAAATTCTTTTTGTCTTTCGACATTTATTATTGAAATAAAACACCTTATAGAATTGCTTCTTACATACTTATTTCCTGTTAATATACCTACTTTCTTCTCCTTCCATTCCGGTAGTTGTAGTATTACTTTGTTTGTCTTTTTATTAGATTTCTAGTATTATCTGATGTTGCTTCTACTTCGGTTTAGTTACTAACTAGCCAAACTACTACCTCTTCTCTTATGACTCTTTACTATTGCTATATTTCAATTTGCTTTACTGTTCTAACTGTACTTGCCTGAGCGTCTTTGGAAACAATATCTCTACCTGCATAAGGTAGGGGTAAAGTTTGCGTACACATTACCCCCAGACCCCACATATGAGATTGCACTGGGCGCATACCTGCTTTCCTCCTTCGAGGTATAATAATCAACATTCTGACTTACTTGACAAGCTGAAAAGCATATAGCTAGTCCATGAATATCTCGAGTAGAGACGATCATCAGTACCCCAAGATTACATTGTAGCTAACCATTTAAGAAAACAAACCATGCAAACAGATTACAGACTACATAAGCAGTATGGCAATAAGCCATGCTTTAGAGCAATTAGTTCTCCAGCAGAATTATTTTAGCAGTATCTATTTAGCCATGTTTTAAGAGTTGTTGGGTAAATTTTAAGAATGGTCATTGAACTATGTAATCATCTATTGCAGGAATAAAATTAAAATTTTGCAACCAAAATATTCCTCACATTTCCGTATAACTTGCTGAAAGTAAAAAACTGCGGAAACTAGTATATCTAGCAACAGAATTTCCATTTCTCAAGCCACATAAGCTAAAATTAGAAGTCAGCTAAAAGATCTCTCATTCCCATATATGTTGGGTTTATCCTTTTATTTAGCAATTATTTATTTAATGTTTGTTTGCTCTTTTATTTGGTTGGATTTGTCAGCTCCTAGTTATTAGGAAGTGAACGAGTGGTTTTAGTTGACATATCCACTGGGGGTGCTGCTGCTCGAGCTCTAGGCTGAGCTCTGCCTCTGCCTCGATTGGCCTCTGGCACGACCTCGACCTCTGCCCCAAGTAGGAGCTGCCCTTGGGGGATCCGGCTGCTGTCCAGCTGAAGATGGGGTGCGTGTTCTCGCCATCTGCGAGAGATCAAGAATAGTTGCATATGTAGCTCGATGTCTAAATTGTCAGCAAGTAAAGTATGAGCATCAGAGAACTGGTGGTTTGCTTCAGTTTAGGAGTCCTAGTTAATGTTTGTTTAGCAGTGGGTTTGTGGGTTTCATGAGTAGTCATGAAGTCTATGTAAAAGCCTATATAATGGCTTCTTCTGTTGCAAATAAAAGTGTGAGTTGTATTAAAAAATCCCATCTTGTCTACTTTTCTATTTGCTCCATTTTATCAGATATATCAAGAGCAAGGTTAGATTTAGAAAATAGAGAAACACCCATGAGAGAGAGAGTTTACCAAAAAAAATTATTCTTCATCTCTCGCTTCAGAGAGCAATATTGCGCAAGCAACTATTCCCCGTTTTGATGGTCACTATGATCATTGGAGTATGCTGATGGAAAACATCTTGCGGTCAAAAGAGTATTGGTCAATTGTTGAGGATGGCATTAAAGCGCCAGCAATAGGCGAAACTTTGACGGATGTTCAAAAAACTGTATTCGAAGCAAAAAAAAGCGGAAAGATTTAAAGGTGAAGAATTATCTCTTTCAGGCTATTGAGCGTCCCATCTTGGAAACTATTCTTCGCAAAGAACTTCCAAGGATATATGGGATACCATGAAAAAGAAGTATCAAGGTTCTACAAGAGTGAAGCGAGCACAGCTTCAGGTCTTGAGGAGGGACTTCGAAACTTTGCAGATGAATGAAGGAGAATCTGTCACTAGCTACTTTGCTAGAAACATGGAGATATGCAACAAGATGAGATTCCATGATGAGAAGATGGACAATGTCACAATTGTTGAAAAGATATTGCGCTCTGAAACGTCAAAGTATGATTATGTCGTTTGCTCCATTGAGGAGTCAAAAGACATAGATGCTTTATTGCTTGACGAATTACAAAGCTCCTAACTGGTTCACGAACAAAAGATGAACAAAAACTCCACAATACAGGAGCAAGAGTTGAAGGCTTCTACTAATACTCATTCCAACAACTATAGAGGAAGGGGTAGAGGTAGAGGTCGGGGTAGAGGAAGAGGTGATCATGGAGGCAGAGATTCTAGCAGAAATTTCAAAGCCAATAGTAACCAATCTCAAGGCAAAGACAGAGGCCGAGAGCATCACAAATTCAAGGTGGAGTGCTACAGATGTCATAAGTTTGGTCATTATGCATCTGAATATTATACTAGGCTGCCTAATGACAAACAATTGAAGAGAAGTCCAATTACACAGAGAACAAAGAAGGGGAAACCTTGTTGATGTCAATTCAAGTAGCGAAGGAACCCGAGCTAGATGTTCGATATCGGGACAGAGGCTGCACTAATCACATGAATGGGAGTTTTGTTTTTCTTACTTAAATGAAGGCTTCCGTTCTAAAAGTTAGTTTTGATGATTGTTCTACTATGGATGCAACGGGAAAAGATGACATCAAGGTTAAAACCAAGAATGATTTTGTGGAAACAATTTCTAATGTGTTATATGTTTTTGACTTAAAAAGCGATTTACTGAGTGTTGGTCAACGACAAAAGGTATTTTATTACCTTTATTGATGATTATTCCCGAAAGACCTGGATATATTTTTTTAGAGAAAAAATCAGAAGCTTTTAATGTATTTAAAATTTCAAAGCTCATGTGGAGAATGAGACAGGAAGAACCATTAAGAGCCTCTGATCAAATCGTGGAGGCGAATATTGCTCTAAGGCATTTGAAGAATTTTGTGGGACTCATGGCATTCGAAAAGAGCTCACACAGCAGCATGTACACCAAACAAAATGGTGTATCAGAGAGGAAGAATAGAACCATTCTCAATATGGTTCAAAGATTGCTGGCTCGAGGAAGAGTTCCAAAGGCGTTTTGATGGAAGCAACAAATTGGAGCATTCATATTTTGAATAGAAGTCAACATTTGCTGTTAAAAATATGACTCCTGAGGAGGCATGGACCGCAAGGACACCTGTTGTAGATTACTTTAAAATTTCTGGTTGTATTGCTATGCACATGTCCCAGTCAAGAAGAGGAAGAAGCTTGATGACAAAAGCGAGAAGCGTGTTTTTCTCGGTGTTAGTGAAGCATCACAGGCATATAATTGTTCAATCCACAGACAAAGAAGATTGTGATCAACAGAGATATTGTTTTTGATGAAGAAAGTGGGATTGGAATATACAACAGCCTACTCCAATCTTATTTGTTAATGTAGTCGAAGATGCAGCCACGATGACTAAAAATTCAGAAAATCTACTGTAATGGTAGCTGAAATTCTACCACAACTGCTGACATTTTACAAATAACTTCAGAAGAAGCTGATGAAGCTCAGTCTCTTCGACGGGCTCGCAAAAGGCCTGCTTGGATGATGGATTATGAGGCGTCTGATATTAATATCGACAATGAGACAATTGCTCATTTTGCATTGTTTGCAGATTGTGACCCAATAACTTTTGAAAGTGCTGTTCAAAAAGCAAAATGGAAAGAGGCAATGGATGTTGAGATTTCAGCAATTGAAAAAATGACATTTGGGAGCTTACTGATCTTCCAAAAGGGCTAATTTTTCACTCACAGAGTTTTAAAGTTAGTTTTACTATTTTTATGTTTTAAAATATCTACTTGAGTTATTATGTAATTTTAGCCTATTTTATTTTTAATTTCAAATCATAAAATTAAAATAAAACAAAATAAAGAAAGTCTCAATTTATCTTATTAGATGTGTTTCTTTTTTGTTTTTATTTATTTAAGTTCATTAGTATTTTTATAGTAGTATTATGCTAAGTTTGCCATGGTTTTCATATGTTTATTATTATTTTTAGTATAATCCTTGAAAAATACAAAAAATAATATATATATATATAGTTTCATAGTATGTTATATTTTACTTTAATTAATCGTAATTAATTTTAAATCATTTTTGTAAAGAAAAGGTTTAAGTTTTCTTAATTGGTAGATTTAAAAGGGTTAAAGCCCCAAATTGTGGCCCAATTTCGGGATAGAAGAAGCCCAAATCTAGGCAGCCCATCCCTTTCTCCTTAACCCCACTGACCCGCCCCAAATACCCACCAACCCGCCCCATTTTCTGATTAAATCTCGGCCATCCATTCACCAAATCCAACGGTTCACCTTATTTCCCCCACACCAAATATAACCTCAATTTTTCCCAATCTAATCCTAAACCTAAAGATACAAGCTTCGGCCGTACCCCCAACCCCCATCTCCATGCTCTTGCGGCTTCCAACTCGTCGAAATCGGGCGAGTTCACCCTCAACGAGTCCCATGGTCCCCCCTCTCTTCTCTCTTTCTTCCACGTCACTCATTCCATACAAATCTCATCATTTCAATCCAATTCATACGGATTTCTTCTTTTATTTCTTTTGTTTAAACACAAATCCGAGGCCCTTGAATAAATTTGGGAGAAATGGGAACCGTTGGATGAAGATTTTTATCCAAAGTCTCCATTTTTTCGATTTTTGTTTGTGAAAGGGGGATTTTCGGATTTGATTTTAGGGTCCCACATGTTTCTTGCTGAGGAAGAAGAAGCTTCGAGAGAAGGATATATATTTGGAGCCTTTAGACAAAGAAAAGGGGAGGGGGNGAAATTAGGGTTTTAGGGTTCTTGAGGCTTTCATCTAATTCTTCCATTTTTATTTTTATTTTTCGCTTCCAGAAATACAAAAAAAAAGAAAACGAAAAAAAAATTATTTTCAGTTTCTGTTTTCATTTTCCGTCATGGGATTCGATTGAAGTGTTGTTGAGTGCTGAAGATTTGTTCGCCAGTTGAGGTGTTCGTGTCCGCGTTCCCTGAGCTGGCTTCCTGCTCTGTTACTTCATTGTTGACTCTGGATTTTCAGTAGCTGTTTTCATTCTCAAGTTCGTCACCAAATCCTCTTCTGTTGTAATCGATTCCTACAGAATTAATC